TTTAGGGTTTAGGGTTTAGGGTTTAGGGTTTAGGGTTTAGGGTTTAGGGTTTAGGGTTTAGGGTTTAGGGTTTAGGGTTCTCGAGATCAGCCAAGTCGCCTTTGACAGGTGGAAGCATGACAAGCAGAGCCGCCAAGTATAAAAGATGTTCAATATTGCAGATTTTGCCCTGGTGCAGAGTATATATGTCTTAGATACAGCAGATTAAGCCCGAAACCTAAAGCCTAGGGTTTTCGGAATTTAGGGCTTAGGCTTGGAAACCTAAACCCTGAAACCCTAAGACCCTAAACCCCAACCCTGAACCCACAATCCTCAAAGCCTAAGCCCTAAACCCTAAAGCCCATAACGCTAAGGCCTAGAGCATAGGGTTGGGCATCGGGTTGCGGTTTTATTTGGGGGTATAAAAGATGTTCAATATTGCAGATTTTGCCCTGGTGCAGAGTATGTCTTAGATACAGCAGATTAAACCCGCAACCCAAAGCCTCTTTAGAGCTTCGGGTTTTAGGGGTTTAGGGCTTAGGGCTGAGGCTTTTTGGGTTTTAGGGCTTAGGGTTTTGAGGAAAACGGCTTTAGGTGTAAGGGTTTTAGGAATTTTGGGGTTTAGGCTTGGAAACCTAAACCCCGAAACCCTAAACCCTAAACCCTAAACCCTAAACCCTAAACCCTAAAACCCTAAAGCCCTGGAGCCCTAAAGCCTTAAAAAAAAAAAAACCGAGGTTTCGGGTTCTCGGGGCTGCTAAGGGGTTTAGGGTTTAGGGTTTAGGGTTTAGGGTTTAGGGTTTAGGGGTCTTTCGGCTTCTTGGGGGGACCTTGGGGTTCTCAGGGCTCTGGGTGTTCGCAAAGTTCAATCAAAGTTCAATCCGCCTCGAAAAACAAAAACCACAAAACACCCCCCCCCCCCCCAATTTTTCCAAACCCTAAACCCTAACCCTAAACCCTGAATATCCATACGATTACAAGAATCCAGAATGGGAAAGCACGGCCACTGCTCTGTTTGGGCCATGTGGGGCTAAACCCTAAACCCTAAACCCTAAACCCTAAACCCTAAACCCTAAACCCTAAACCCTAAACCCTAAACCCTAAACCCTAAACCCTAAACCCTAAACCCCAAACCCTAAACCCTAAACCCTAAACCCCAAACCCTAAACCCTAAACCCTATACCCTGAGACCTTCTACACTGATGTCAGCTTGACAGGAGTCTGGTCGCATCCTTCTTGTTGGCGAAGGCTGCGGTGTTTTTTTTTTTTTTTGTGTCTTTGGGGTTTCGAGCTCAGGGTCAAGGGCTTAGGGTTTGGGGCTTTGGGTTTAGGGCTTTGGGTTCGGGTCTTAGGGCTTCGGGCGTTGGGTTTGAGCAGTAGGGTTGACTGGTTTTTTGGGCTCAAGGTTTCGCCTCTAGGAAGCTGACCCTGCCCCCCCCCCCCCCCCCCCCCCTCCCCCCCTTCAAATGCTCAGGGTTTTTAGGGTTTAGGAGGAAAAAGGGGTTTAGGGTTTTGCTTCGATGTTTGTTTGGACACGCTAGGTCTGGCTTCCAATTCCTAGCCAACGCTCTTTTAACGCTTTGAGCTCTTTTTCTTTTGAGGCTCTTTCCTAAAGCCAGAACCCAAAACCCAAAACCACCGCCCAATAATACCAAACTAATTCCTCAACCCTAAACCCGAAACCCTACGCCCTAAGCCCTAAGCCCTAAGCCCTAAGCCCTAAGCCCTAAGCCCTAAGCCCTAAGCCCTAAGCCCTAAGCCCTAAGCCCTAAGCCCTAAGCCCTAAGCCCTAAGCCCTAAACCCTAAACCCTGAACCCTAATCCTACTTCAGTCCCTTGAAGCTCGAGGCAACTTCAGCTTTGCTCGCGCGCTCTGCCAAGTCCGCGGATCAGGCGGCGTCCGCAGTTGGGTGCAAGTTCTTGGAAGAACTCTGAACCTAAACCCAAAACCCAAAACCCTAAACCCTAAGCCCTAAGCCCTATGCCCTGAACGACCCTGATCCCCCCGAACCCCTCCCTGTTGGGGTCCTTCGTGGAAGGAGCAATCTCGGGTTTAGGGTTTAGGGTTTAGGGTTTAGGGTTTAGGGTTTAGGGTTTAGGGTTTAGGGTTTAGGGTTTTAGAGCCAATCCCTATGCCATTAGCCCTCAACCGTACACTCAAATTGTAGCCGCTACCATGACAGGTACCAGAAAGGGTACCTTTTTTCGGACCAACCTTATGCCCTAAACCCTAAACCCTAAACCCTAAACCCTAAACCCTAAACCCTAAACCCTAAACCCTAAACCCTAAACCCTAAACCCTAAATTTTAGGCCTAGCGGCACGGGCCGGCCCCCGCCCCGCAAAACAGGAAACCTCGAAGCGGGCATCGTTTTGTTTTTGTTTTTCTGCTCCGTCTTTATTCCGCTGCCCTGTCTGTCACCCCCCCCCCTCTCTCCTCTCTCACCATCTCTCTCCTTCTGTCTATGTTGGTGTCTCCTTTTCTTTTTGTCCGTTTCCATTTCAATTCAATGTATTGCTCCCTTTCTCGTTTCTCGCTTTCTTTCTTGCTCCCACTCTTTCTCCCTTTCTCCCTTTGCCTCTTTCTCCCTGTGTCCCTCTTTCCCTCTCTCTCTCTCTCTCTCTCTCTCTCTGTCTTGCTCGCTCTCGCTCTCTCCCTCTCGCTCTCTCACTCTCTCTCTCTCTCTCTCTCTCTCTCTCTCTCTCTCTCTCTCTCTCTCTCTCTCTCTCTCTCTCTCTCTCTCTCTCTCTCTCTCTCCCTCCCTCCCTCCCTCTCGCTCTTCCCCTCCCCCCCCACGCGCGCGCGCGCGCACCCGCATCAGGAGCATCATTGCATCATTGGGGTTGGTTTGGGAGCCCAAAAGACATTCTAAGCATGCGTTTTGCCTTCGAAAAACCTTCAGAAAACGCTGTAAACACGTGTTTTTGAGCTTGGGAAGCCTTTTGGAACCGAGGAAGAGAAAGCATCATGAGCATCAGCGGCCTCCCCCAGGCCATCCGAAACCTCCTGAAACACGCCGATTATATGTGCTTGAACGCTTGCGTGCCCACCAAGCCCCCCAAAGCAAGACCCCGAATGCCCTTAAGCGCATTCGGGGTCCTGCTGTTCGGGTGTTTTGTAGGCACGAAGCCGTTCGAGCGCGCAAAATGAGCGATTTTAGGGGCGTTTTTACGTGGACCCACAAAACACTCGGTATTTACGAGGTTTTCTGCTGTTGGAACACCCCCCCAAACCGAGCATCATGAGCATCAGCTGGGTCTCTGGGCCGTCGGCCCCGGAGGCCCACGAAGCCCATGAGAAGCGATGGCTCGATGATGCGCCCGGACCCCCGCGCATCAGCAGCATCAGCAGACCCCCCCCCGGACGTGGGTTTCGATGATGCGCACTTTGGGGGCGGGTCAAGGGCAACAGGGGTGGGGGTCGGAGGCACGCGTGAAAAACCTCATAAAAACACGGTATTTACGGTGATTTCAGCGTTTTTTATTGCCTTGGGGCCGCGGGCCAGGGCTGCTGATGCTCATGATGCTCGCCTGGTTTTGGGCTTCCGGTACCCCCCCCAAACCTTGAAAAACGTGGTTTCGGCCTGGCGCGCGCCCCATGTGAAAAGCTAGGGCCGATGATGCGCGCCCGTGAGGGTTTAATGGGGTGCTGCAGGTGTTTTGTGGCCTCGGTTTTTCGCAAAAACCCATGATTTTTACGAGGTTTTCGTGCTTTTCGCACCACCGCGCGTTGCGTCCCCTTGGATGCCGTTTTGGAGGCCTCCCGAAGGGCCCCGCGCGAATTTGAAGCAATTTTGGGCGGGGTCGGCGGCTCGGGCGCTCGCCCCTTAACGCTAGTGCTTTAGTGCGACGCGGGCTCCGCCCTGGACCACGGGCGGCACGGGGGCCGGATTTAAGAGCCTCCGGCTCAAGCCGCCGACCCCGCTGGAGCATAGTTGAAAGGTTTAAACGTGCTCGTCAGCTCAAAGGATGCCAAAAGTTGATTTGCTTGAGCCTCTATGAAACGTTGGGGGGGTACCCCCCCCTACCCAGAAAGAGGGAAGTTTTCACCTCCTTTTCCCATCCAACACGCCGCCAGGGTCGGCGGACCCTAAACCCTAAACCCTAAACCCTAAACCCTAACCTTAAACCCTAAACCCCTAAACCCTAAACCCTAAACCCTAAACCCTAAACCCTAAACCTTAAACCCTAAACCTTAAACCCTAAACCTTAAACCCTAAACCTTAAACCCTAAACCCTAAACCCTAAACCCTAAACACAAGCCGAGGCGGGAAGAAGAAAAAGGCAGCGGCCTCGACCATGGGCTCCAGCGCCTCGGTTGTATTTAGGGTTTTCTAAACCCTAAACCCTAAACCCTAAACCCTAAACCCTAAACCCTAAACCCTAAACCCTAAACCCTAAACCCTAAACCCTAAACCCTAAACCCTAAGGGTTTAGGGCTGCAAGTTTAGGGGCCTCAATAATTAGAACAGGGTTTGGGGGGTTATTGCAGCATAACTATAACGGGACCATAAGGCAATACTATTAGTCATGATTCCGATCCCTATAGTACGCTTACTTTGGGGCTTATGAACTTAGGCACTAAGTTACTGGGCGTAGAGCGTGTAGGCTTTGGAATTTAGGGCTTAGGGCTCAGGGTTTCGGGTTTAGGGTTTAGGGTTTAGGGTTTAGGGTGTAGGGTGCAAAGCAGGAGCAAGCAAGCAGCCACTTTTCACAGAGAGCACCACCACAAGGCACAACATCTTGGTAGGTGCACGTTCTTTGCTTAGGGTTTAGGATGGTTTAGGGTTTAGGGTTTAGGGTTATATGTTTCTTGAACCTTCATCTGTGTTCTCTTGAGACGACGACGAAGACCATCCTTCCTTGCGGCGTGCTTTTGCGAACGGCGAAGATATGCGGCGTGCTCAGTGCACAGAAGAGACCCGACTGTGCAAGACGAAAAGCACCGAAACTGTACCAATAACAGTCAGACTGCTGGCCAACACAGGGCCCTCCCTTCGTGAAACCTCCCCTCGGAAAGAGGGGGCCTGTCACTGGAGGCTCTATGCTAACAGGGCTTGCCACAATAATCCTCGCCTCTGCCTGATGACCAACGGGTTCTGCGTTCAACGGCCAGAATGCCTTCTGCTATTTGTAAACCGC